CCCGGAAAACAAATGCTGTAGTCCAAACGAGCCGTTCGTTGTAGTTCTTGAAAAGGGATTTTTTTTAAACGAAATATCTCCCTTTGGAGTGGACTTTGAGATTTGTAACTTTTCTAGATCTTTTTTATGCCCAAACATACACACTACACACTGACTAAAATTAAAAAAGTGAAAAAGCATAATAGGACCCCTTTAAGAACTGTTCACTGAAAGGTTCTTTGGGGAACCAAAAGTGGTTCATTTATGGCATTGCTGTAAAAACCCCCTTTGAAACCTTTATTTTTAAGAGTGCATATGTGAGCCAGAAACATTCCACTGTGTCCTAGAGTAAAACCCTTCATACCAGTTTGCTTCAAGTGTGTTTGTATACCTGCGGTAGGTCTGCTGAATTGCATTGCATCCACTGTCTATCACTCTGAAAGGATCATCTTTCAATGTAGCACTTAAAAGAAGCTTTTGAATGTACTTACCTTGATATAAAAGTTACATGAGTATATTTAACTCAAAGGCCTTGTTTCAGTGTTTTTGAAAAGCATGAAAGTTCACCCATGTTCATCAGTTCACTGCAAAACCATCGCAGTTGTTTTCCCCCCATCTTCCAGGCACCTTGAGCTTCTGTCTCGCTCTTTTTTTTTTTTTTGCACATCAATGCATCTACAAGGTCCCTCTGCACCGCACCTCCTAAATTTTCCCCATTAAATAATCAAACCTCCTTTGAGAGTGTCGCCTTTATAGTCTCTCTTCAGGCAGGAAACAACACGGAGAGTAAAGGGGGATTTCTATCTCTGCAAAAAGTTGACGAGAACTCTTGTAATGCATCATGAAATGTGTATCAATCAGATGGTTATTTTCCTGAGTGACTGTTCGGTGTTTATGTGCGACTTGAGTGAATGAAACATTGTGAAAAAAAGCTAATCTGTGTCACTCTTGACGCACTCGAGCTACATTATAGCTCTGTCATCTTTGAAACAGTTTCTCATTAATTCCTAAAGTTCTTTGTGTAGAAATGAGGGGAAAGTTGTCTTTGAAGTTGTGTGGAGCATCTCAGGAGACCTGGAGGCCTCAGGCTGGACTTAGCCGATGATGAGGGAGATGTTGCTTTGAAAGGGAATCTTTCCACCCACCACTCATGTTCAGCTATTACATGGTAATAGCACACACTGATAAAGAAAGGATCACTTGCTCCAATGTTTGGTTGGTCATGATACAGTGACTGCATTTGATTTACACATTCTGTAGACAAAGTTTAGAGACCCTGAGTATTTGCAGCACATCAATGTAATACTGAATATTTGCAACAGATCAGTGTAATACAGTAACATGCTTTATATATTATAATTGTGTTATTAATTACAATTTCTGTTAGCCACAATGATTTGATATATTGATATGTTACTTTTTATATTTTTGCTGTTTCATGAATTATGCTCTTACTGCCGTATGGGCATGTTGTCAAAAATAAATTTTTACAAGTTGTAATTGTATTATTAGAATTATTAATTAAAATTTCTGTTTTCCACAATGGTCTGATATATTGGTATGATATTTGTGGTTTTGTTGGTATTTTTATTATTTATTTATTTTTACATTTTTGCTGTTTGTACGAATGGCTCTTACTGCAACTTCTTATTTCCTGGGCGACATGCTTATTAAAAAATTTTGCTTTTTGAAAATAAATGCTTAAGAATTTATTTTTGTTTGTAAACTAAGAAATATTCACTGCATTAAAGAGTGTAACAACTACGTCCAGGTTCTGCTATAATATAGTATCTATGTGTATAAAATATATTCTGACTTTGCTAGAATATTCTAATAATAAAAATGTGAATATGAAATGAAATCTCTCCTGTTCAGTGTTTTTTTTTCAGCATTTCTATTTCCCTACCTATCTATCTGTCTGTCTGTCTGTCTGTCTATACTTTACTTTACTTTACTTTATAAATCTTGATGTATTAAAAATCCATTAAGCATGTATAACATTCAAACTTAAAGCTTACTTGAGACTTTCAGGTGAACTGACAGACTGATGCACTTTCCTTTTCTAGTTTTAATTCAAGTGTGTAGACTGAAATAGTTTTGTACCCTGAAAATTTTCGACACAACAACTTCTAGAAAGGTTCATATATAATATAAGTTAACATTTTTGTATATACAATTCAATCACTGGTATCCCACCCTTCCAAGAGAGAAAGAAACAGATAAAACTGTATGGCCTTGAGCCAGTGTGTTGTCAATGTGATATTCAATGTCATGTATTTGAAGTGTTATTTCATTCTTTTAATATAATTGTTGTATTTTGCTTCAATATGCGTTGAAGTCGAGACTACCGTATGTAGGGGTCTGCAGCAGGTCTTGTACTTAAACAGCTTTAAAGCACAAATCCCCTTTACAAACAAGGAATACAGCTTGGAACGTTCCACTTTATTTTTGGGGAACATTGGATCGCTATAACTCTATTGACGTGATGTTAATGTATATGGTCGAACACATAAACATCATATTATCTATTACACTTTTTAACAAGAAGATTTTGTGCAGATATGAGGAAAACCGGAAAGTTATCGTTTAAATGATTTTTACTTATGACTAACAAAACCCTATTCAAGACTTGGTATCTTCCACTCGCCAGCTGATCGGCCTCGACTCCCGGTGCGGTCCGTCGGACTGTACGCGGCCGTTAATTTCTTGATTTTTGTCAAAATTACCTCGAATTCATAGTAACGGCCGCTCGTGTCCGCATCTTGCACATCTTACGCTGCGTTTTCAGCTCGGGGATTTCGTTGTAAAGCATTTTTGATTAAACGTCGAGCCGAGGAATTCCCGCAAAAGCTTTAGGCCGCGAGCAGATCCCCGGTGTTTCCTGCAGAAACCTGACGCCTTCACATCGCCGCCATGGGGGACACAGGAAGCGAGCGCAGCAAGCCGCCTAGTATTCCTCCCCGCTGCCCTTGTGGATTTTGGGGGTAAGATGATTAATTTTACACGTGAGTATACCTGTGCGCCGAATTAGATGTGGATACGGCGATAAATGTGAATGAAATGTGAAGTGTTTGTTGTTCATTGTTGTAGGCCGATGGATGGGGGTGGGGAACAACCGCTCCTGTTTTTCACATCCACAGCTGCTGTTTCCCCTCGAACACACATAAGACACATACATCCATCAAACACACATTGCATTTAAAAATCCAGGCTCATCAAAAGCCGATTTGGACGATTTGGTGGTTCCTTTACAAACAAGGAATACAGCGTGGAACGTTCCACTTTATTTTTGGGGAACATTGGATCGCTATAACTCTATTGACGTGATGTTAATGTATATGGTCGAACACATAAACATCATATTATCTATTACACTTTTTAACAACAAGATTTTGTGCAAATATGAGCAAAACCGGAAAGTTATCGTTTAAATGATTTTTACTTATGACTAACAAAACCCTATTCAAGACCTTGAGCCAGTGTGTTGTCAATGTGATATTCAATGTCATGTATTTGAAGTGTTATTTCATTCTTTTAATATAATTGTTGTATTTTGCTTCAATATGCGTTGAAGTCGAGACTACCGTATGTAGGGGTCTGCAGCAGGTCTTGTACTTAAACAGATTTAAAGCACAAATCCCCTTTACAAACAAGGAATACAGCTTGGAACGTTCCACTTTATTTTTGGGGAACATTGCCAGGTTCTGCTATAATATAGTATCTATGTGTATAAAATATATTCTGACTTTGCTAGAATATTCTAATAATAAAAATGTGAATATGAAATGAAATCTCTCCTGTTCAGTGTTTTTTTTTCAGCATTTCTATTTCCCTACCTATCTATCTGTCTGTCTGTCTGTCTGTCTATACTTTACTTTACTTTACTTTATAAATCTTGATGTATTAAAAATCCATTAAGCATGTATAACATTCAAACTTAAAGCTTACTTGAGACTTTCAGGTGAACTGACAGACTGATGCACTTTCCTTTTCTAGTTTTAATTCAAGTGTGTAGACTGAAATAGTTTTGTACCCTGAAAATTTTCGACACAACAACTTCTAGAAAGGTTCATATATAATATAAGTTAACATTTTTGTATATACAATTCAATCACTGGTATCCCACCCTTCCAAGAGAGAAAGAAACAGATAAAACTGTATGGCCTTGAGCCAGTGTGTTGTCAATGTGATATTCAATGTCATGTATTTGAAGTGTTATTTCATTCTTTTAATATAATTGTTGTATTTTGCTTCAATATGCGTTGAAGTCGAGACTACCGTATGTAGGGGTCTGCAGCAGGTCTTGTACTTAAACAGCTTTAAAGCACAAATCCCCTTTACAAACAAGGAATACAGCTTGGAACGTTCCACTTTCTTTTTGGGGAACATTGGATCGCTATAACTCTATTGACGTGATGTTAATGTATATGGTCGAACACATAAACATCATATTATCTATTACACTTTTTAACAAGAAGATTTTGTGCAGATATGAGGAAAACCGGAAAGTTATCGTTTAAATGATTTTTACTTATGACTAACAAAACCCTATTCAAGACTTGGTATCTTCCACTCGCCAGCTGATCGGCCTCGACTCCCGGTGCGGTCCGTCGGACTGTACGCGGCCGTTAATTTCTTGATTTTTGTCAAAATTACCTCGAATTCATAGTAACGGCCGCTCGTGTCCGCATCTTGCACATCTTACGCTGCGTTTTCAGCTCGGGGATTTCGTTGTAAAGCATTTTTGATTAAACGTCGAGCCGAGGAATTCCCGCAAAAGCTTTAGGCCGCGAGCAGATCCCCGGTGTTTCCTGCAGAAACCTGACGCCTTCACATCGCCGCCATGGGGGACACAGGAAGCGAGCGCAGCAAGCCGCCTAGTATTCCTCCCCGCTGCCCTTGTGGATTTTGGGGGTAAGATGATTAATTTTACACGTGAGTATACCTGTGCGCCGAATTAGATGTGGATACGGCGATAAATGTGAATGAAATGTGAAGTGTTTGTTGTTCATTGTTGTAGGCCGATGGATGGGGGTGGGGAACAACCGCTCCTGTTTTTCACATCCACAGCTGCTGTTTCCCCTCGAACACACATAAGACACATACATCCATCAAACACACATTGCATTTAAAAATCCAGGCTCATCAAAAGCCGATTTGGACGATTTGGTGGTTTTTAAAGAGCCTTGTGAGCTGGACTGACATCACTCATTTCCTACTGTCCTCTATCACAGTCATTGGCTGTGTTTGAAAACCTTATCTAGACAGCTTTTTTTTGGCATTATAACGTTAGATTGTGTAATGTTTGTTTTATATTCAGAAAACGTAATGAACTTGACGTTTTTAGCATCATAGTGGTCATCGTTTTTTTTATTTTTATTTTTTATTATATATATATTTAAAAAAACCTACATAGCCAGCATTATTTGCATCATTTATTTATTTTTTTTGGCTGTATTCAAAATCTAGTGTACTGCCTACTACTAAGACAACATTTAGAGCATTAAAGGTGGTACCATTTTTGGATTGTATTTCAGAACCTAGTAAGCTGCCTACCTAGACAGGTTTTTAGGGCATCACAGGTGACATTATGCTGGAGGATGATTTTTCATGTGAAGAAGATTTTATTTTTTTTATTTTTTTGGAAAATATTTAGTTTCTATTGCATTATTACACAATTTTCCTACTGTATTATTCATTTTAGTAATTTCTTTTTTATTTTTTTATTTAATTGAACCTTTTCCAAATTTATTTTAATCAATTATTATTATTTAAAATCTTATTATTAATGCAATTTTAACACAGTTTTTCTGTAAACTTTTCCACAGACCCCTAGCACTCCCTTGCGGCCTAAGGGGACAACACTTAAGTGCTTTATGTCAAAACCTATTAGGTAGCCTATCTAGACAGCGTATTGAACATTTTATGCACACCTATGATGCCTTAAAATGCTGTCTAGGTAGACACCAACCTAGGTTCTGAGACACAGTCATCAAAGGCTAATGACAGATTGACTTTTTCTTGAGTGACACATCAGTCAGGGCTCTTCTTAAAGCACGTGTCAGGCTCACAGGTGCAGTCATTTGACACTCCTTGCTGTCTGTGCTCCAAACAAATGCACTAGATCTGGGCAAGACCAAGACAGACCTTTGACAGGTGATCATTCAACAGCCTTTTATTAGCCATTTGTCCATTTGCTTTCATAAAAAAAAAAAAGGATGATAAAGCGATGGTTGGATCAAATGCTGATGGTACAACAGTAATTACATGTTGGTTTGCTTGTGTATCAGGTGATTTAATCACATAAAGCCCCTCTCACTTTACCCCGTAACTAAGCTATTATAAAATAGGCTCAATCTGCTGTTTTTTGTAAATTAGATTGTAAATCTGTTGATGGTGTCCTTGATTTGTTAGGTCAGGGTTTCACAAATGGGGATTTAGGGAACTGAATGTGATAGAAATGCCTACTAATTCTACATACATATTTTCAAAATTGATTAATCAATGGTGGATCGGTCACATCTGTCAACCAGTCAATCAATCATCCAGCTACCAATTAGAAGGGACTACCTGTTTGAAGACTGTTTGTGATTCTGTTTGGTGCTGCTAGTGAGCGAAAAATGGCAGAATGCAATGTCATGCTTCATTCCTGCTCACGAGAGAATAAAATCAATTCAGCGTTTGCCATGTCATGCCAACATGTTTTACTGGAAATATTACTTTTCACGGAAATCTACAATTCATTCATGTTGGGTTCTGTTGAGATGAAGTTTGAGTAAACAGTAGTAATGGCAATAGTAAATTAATGACCCAACTGAGTGCCGTCATTGCCATTTGTTCAGAGGCATTTTCTGGAATGAAGTCAAGGTTTACTTCAAGGTGTGTGTGTGAGTGTACATGGGTGTGTGTATTTTGGTAGATGCTGACACATGATGAATAATCTACAAATCTAATAATCTCTTTTCATCTTCGTCATGATCACTGTAGTCATTTTCAGCTCTCTGCTTTAAAAGTGTCATGTTTGTGTGACTGAAAGACTGAAAGAATAGATTGTAGCAGTGGTTTATTTTGGACTCTTTATTCAAGTGACAGTTTCTGTCATTGAAGATGCACATGAGATTTGAAACTGGACGTTAACATGGCACATCATATCTGGCTTTTGATGGCTGTATATCCTGCAGATTTAAACCACATCCCATCTCTATTCTGATTCCTTGACTGTTTTTCCCTTTCAGACTCAGACTTTAACAGGTTGACTGGTTTGCTTTGTGCAGAGATATATGAAAGGATACAGTAAATGTCCTAAAAGAGGTGTATGTTGAATCATCCTTGTAACAATTGGCAACTCATGGCTTGTAAAAGGCATTTGCTTGTAAATCAGATGTTTAAAGTTTTACCAGTAATAAATTGCTTGTCGTCATGGTGGATCGTTTAGTGTTTAGTGATTAGTTGCTTATGATTTAACTGTTGCAAGTTAGTCTGACTGAAATTTTTGTCATCATTTACTCACCATCAGTCATTTTGCATAATGTCAAAGTCCCTGTTTTCCTTTCATTGTGATTTTTATTTTTTAAATAACTGCAAGCTCCAAAGAAAGCACAAAAAAGTTTGATAAAGTCCACTTGACTGAAGGCATACAGTAGTTTTATGTGATAAAGAGGCCAAGATGTCATTATTTGCATTATTCGGCAGCTCTCTTTTTGTGATCAATGAAAAAGAAATCAAATGGGTTGGGATTTGGGAATGACATGAGGGTGAGTAAACCATGATTTGTAAAGTCAAGTTCGATTAATTTGACATTCGGTTAAAGCTGTCCATTTGTGTGCGTCATTGCTTTCTGCTTTGTTTACTTTGCAAAAACGATATGTTGGTAGATGTTTTACTGTTTATTGGTATATCGGTGCATTTAAATGACAATGATTAAACGGCGAGAAAAAATTATTCTTGTGATTGTTTAGTATAAAACTTTGTGGAACTTTTAAAACTGTATTTTAGCATTAAACATTTTGTGTACAAATGGTTACAATAGCTGTTTGGTCAAAATTATTGCTAAAAAAAATAATTATAATAATGTTTTCAATCAAAATCTGAAGTGTCGGCCTATATTTGTTATACCTAGCATGCATTAAATCGAGCATGCTTTTGTAAGCTAGTTATTTTGATTAGTGGTCGACCGATATTGGCTTTTTGACAGCCGATGCCGATATCTTGGAAAGCAGGGTGGCCGATATAAAGCCGATATAATTTTATTTTAATTAATATTTAAGAAATTTGAAATCATTTAAAAATGGATTAAGTCTCCAGTGAAGCTGAACTCTCCACCTGTCCGCATTCAATTCACACGGACCGACCGTCACGCAGAGAACACGCGATCATGCAGGATACAAATGCACAATTCACAAGATCTCACAACTGGATCCGAAATGTTCATTAGTCATTCAAAGATTTGTTTAAATTATATAAATGCGTATTTGCTGAATGCTGACGGCAAACAAGAAAGTATTATAATGTTTGCCTTTCTATTACTAATAATATAAAAGCAGTCGAGGAAAACTTATCGGCCGATGCCGATATTTTAAAAATGCCAAATATCGGCCATGGCGATATATCGGTCGACCACAAATTTTTTTTTATTGGGCAAAACATAAAACCTAGTAAACCGATACTTGAGGGAAAGGTTTTGGCTAACCTGTTGCATGTGTAAAAGCGTCATGTCTCAAAACATGAGTGGTTCTTCCCTCAACCTTGTGTAGACTTGCCCAACTGGTGTTGAATGACACAAGCAAATGCAGCTCTGTTTTGATAACCAGTGTCAAGAAAAATTGTGCACACCTACTTGAATTGTAAAACAACAGCACATCCTTACTAACATGTCAAGATTAAACCAATGGCTATGAAGTATCTGATGGTAAGTCACGTGAGTAAACTCATCCCATCTTTAGTGCAGTAGGTTATCTGAAAATGTGGTTAACTACTAGACCGGATGCAAGTAAAGACAATAGTTAGGAAACAAAACAGGTTTCTGCGTTGATTCAAAACTTAATCTTTTGCTTCAGAAATTTTTGTCTATTCTGAATTGATTTGCTTTTTAAAATTTAATTCTCAGATAGAGTAATTTTAAAGGGGTCATATGATGTGATTTCAAGTTTTTCTTTCTCTTTGGAGTGTTACAAGCTGTTCGTGAATAGATAAGATCCCTAAAGTTGCAAAGACTAAAGTCTCAAACCCAAAGAGATATTCTTTATAAAAGTTAAACTCGTCCACGCCCTCCTAAAACGCCTCGTTTAAACACGCCCCCACATGTCTACATCACGATGTGGGAAGATTTGCTAAAAAGACGGTATGAGTCATTATAATCAGTAATTATGTCCACAATATGGTAGGGGCGTAACATTTCCGTCACACGGTTGAGGTATTCGGCCAATCACAACGCACTGGATAGCTAACCAATCAGAGCACACCTCGCTTTTCAGACCGATGAGCTTTGTAAAAATCGACGCGTTTCAGATAGGCGGGGCATAGAGGAGAAACAATAATGTATAGTATGTGGAAAATAATATGTTTTTTGAACCTTAAACCGCATAATCACATTTCATTACACCAAATACACAAAATAATGTTTTTTTTTAGCAACATCATATGACCCCTTTAAGGATGTCTAAGTGGAGTATAAAATCTTTAATTAAAGGGATAGTTCACCCAAAATTTTTTAATTCTGTCATCATGACATTTACTCACCCTCAAGTTGTTTGAGTTCCTTTCCTCTGCTCAACATAAAATAATTTATTTTGAAGAATGTGTTTAACCAAACAGTTGACTTCCACATAATAAAAAAAATAAATACAATGAAAATCAATGGGGACCATTAACTATTTGTTTACATTCTTCAAAATATCTTCTTTTGTGTTCAGCAGAAAAAATAAATGTGCATGTGATCACAGAATTTAGATTTTTGGGTTAACTATCCCTTTAAGGTAATTGTATGCCATGGTAACATTGTATGTCATATTATAGTTATCTTGCTGGAAAATGAATGAAATAAAATGATTGGTTAAATAGCTATGAGGTAATGTCTATATATGGATGATCTAGTGATTTAAATATGTAATTTCACTTGTTTATTTTTAAGTTTTTGTTTAGAACTGTATAGATGCAAACCAAAAGATCTAATTATTCATAACAAAAATGTCTGGTATTAAAGTTAAAGCAAAATCTGTACTGTTCCATAGACATTTCTTTGTGTGTGTGTTGTGTAGATAGAGGGTGCTGCAGTTCAGAGGGGCTGAAGTGTGAAGGGCAGCAGTGGCGTTACATTTTTCATCTTATTTCCGAACTTCCATCTGGCATCTTCCATTTTAACACCTGTTAGCACGTCGGGTTTTTTTTTCATTTTGAAGCATGCATTATCTTTTGGGAGCTGGTGCGGGCAGGGAATGAGTGTGGAGAGTGAGATCATCTGTTGTGTTTGGATCCACCGTCCCCTGTGATTCCCACAGATACTCTCATTATTGCTAAAGAAAGCCGTCACCATTTCAATGTTGCTTTAATTTCCTTTCAAGGTAAGTGCTGTAATATTAGACCTTGAACTGCAGCTGCTTTTTTAAAATATGCAACATTCCTGCTGCTTGCTGAGTTGCTGCAGATGTTGACATCACGCACACAGAGATGTGGTGGTTTCTGTGTGTATTCAGTTGATATTAGGTAGGACTTCACATGCTGATGAATAGATGCTAAGACTCTGGAGTGTCCTGTGTGAGTGAATCAGTGCATTTGCATGAATATACATATGGGTGTCAAAGTTAGACAGATAAGAAACTCTTGGTCTCCACTGGTCTTGGAACGAACACTCTGTCCGTTTACTCATTTTAATCAATTAATATTTGGGGTTTTAAGTTCCTAACCCAAAATATGAAAAATAAGATTTATGCTTGCCCTAGAAAACATTTATGTTGAACATAATGAGAAAAGACTGAACAATTAAATAATACAACGACAAAAGATAAAGCTAGTTATTTTAAAGGGAATGTTAACAGAAAAATAAATATTTTGTCATTTCCTCATCCTTATGTTGTTCCAAACCTGTATGAGTTTCTTTTTCTGTTGAACACAAAAGAAGATATTTTGAAGAATGTTAGTAACCAAAGAGTTGCAGGTAGCCATGGTATTTGTCGTGCC